AAAATTACAGAAAAGAAAAATTGTCAACACAGTAATGATTGTATTTCCAGTATAATATGCTCTTCAAAGACCAAAGTAGGAGTTTAAATTTGGGCTGTGGACATAATAGACATAAATGTTCATAAAATTGTACCCTCATAGGTACATGAACATAATGAAATAATAGGTACAATAGATTGCAAGATTTTTTTTTACAGAAGTATCGTACCTATCGTATGCGTGGTGCGTATCAGTTGATGTGTTTTTATTAAACAATGTATGTATGTAATGTATAATTAAAATAAACACAATCGTAAGTAGTATTAGATAGAGCAATATATAAAGAAAAAATAAAGGGGCCTTAATATGCGGTAAGCTAAATGGCAAAGATGTTTCGCCTAACTCTTTGCTTTGTTTAAATTAAGATATTGTACATATTTTAAATAGTGAAGATAATAAAGAATTAAAATAATGAAAACAATGTGACAAATACATGTCTGTAAAAATATTTCACTGTTTTCTTTTGTGTAATTATACATTGTCATAATCATAAGAGTTATATTGTTGGGACCAAAGTATTAAAAGATTTTTTTTTTAATTTTTTATTCAATATCCATATTTGGTTTCCTATAATTTAAGGTAACAAGGATGTCAATATAATTTAGGTACCTTAAGAATAGATATGATTTAACATGATTCAAGTTTACATTTCTATAAACGTATTTGAAAACTCTGAAATAAAATGAATGAATTTATACTTGTAGTTTTTCTGTTTGTGGTTTTGTTAAGTTTCACTGTTTTTTTGAAGTCTAAGTGAATTATAAATGCATAAAAATTTATAGTCTATTAATCACCATTTTCAGTTATTTAAAACAATTTATAATTACGTTAATTTATCTCAATTACATATTTTCATAATTACATTATTTATACATAAATTACTACAGTATCCAGATATATTTACATTATTTTCTGTACCACAGTTGGACTGTTTTCATATTTTTGACCTTCTTTTGTAATTGTAGTATGCCGTACATCAATGCTTCTGCCGTTGGGGGACATCCTAAATTATTATTACAAGTATAAATACAAATGAAATCTTAATGAATGTACAAATATTTATATATTACCTGGTACGTATATGTCCACAGGTATAATTCTATCACAGCCCCTGACAACAGAATAACTGTAATGGTAATAGCCCCCACCATTGGCACAACTTCCCATAGAAATAACCCATCGTGGTTCAGGCATTTGATCGTAGATTCTTCTCAATGCTGGCGCCATTTTATTTGTTAAAGTACCAGCAACAATGATAACATCAGACTGTCTTGGAGATGCTCTGAATACTACTCCATATCTGTCCATATCATATCTAGGTGCAGCAATGTGCATCATTTCAACTGCACAACAAGCCAAACCAAATGTCATGGGCCAGATCGAACCTTTACGTCCCCAATTTAAAAGATCATCCAATCTAGCCATTGCATATTCTCCTGTATTATCAGTTTTTTGAAAAGGGCTATAAGGCTTTCTTTTAGTTTTTTCTGGTAAACTGGCCATAGTCCTAATTTGAGATGCAAAACATCTTGACAAAGCTGTGTCAGTGCAAACCAGGGACAATAAGCCCTGATTTACAGCCGCTAAAAATGAATATGAAACTGTTAAGTACCAATAGAATATAAGAAGAAATATTTCATCAATATTTACTTTGCAATACTTCTTGATTCTTACTGAGTATGTTAAGTACATTTAATATTTATGTGAAGATTAATTACACAGAATCATTGTTTTTTTTTATCATACTACGTTTATTTTAATTCTATAGGTTATGAAACATTTTATACTGTAACTTAAAATAACGATTTGTGTCAACAATCAAAAAATATACTAATTTAGCGTATTGCACTTAACTCATCTTATGCAATACAAACTTGTATAGAGTTAGACATTAAGTAGGTACATGACGGAGAACGTACAAAATACATTTGTGTATATACGACAAACTCTGCCGAAACGAATGATAAATTGTTACATTTTATTTATTCATTATTATTCTCGTTCGATGAATGGAATTAAAACTTATTAAAATTTATAATAAAAAACTTACGCGTAAACATAACAGAACGCAGCATTTCTAATCCGACGAGACACTCACGTCACGGAGTTGTCTACTGTACTGTGATCTGCGCACCACTGCTTACGGTGATCATATTTACAATAATTCCCAGGATTACCTATACTTGACTTGTATTTTAAGAATAGTGCACTCGTGATACAATTAAAAGCACTATAATAGCGAGACTTTTATAAATAAATAGCCTGTTATATTAAACTATTTCTATCTTTATTTCAATATTATCTTTACTTAACTTTTGTTAAATACCTAGTGTTCTTCATCGATTTGAGCGCCACATTTGATTTTTGAACTTTGTTCTTTAAAATAATTTTAGAGGAACGAAATTTATTGAGGAAATGGAAAACAGAAAACATGTTTTTTATTCGTAGAATGTTTTTATTGGCTCAGTTCCTGTTTTATACAAAACATCTAACAAACATAGATGCATTCCGCTGACATTTTTAAAACCTCGCCTTACGAAAAGCGACTAAACTATCGACTTCGCGGATTCTAGTCTCGCGGTTCCCAAAGGGCACGCTACAGTATGATGCGAAATACTGGTTTTGCTTGAACAGTGCTCGAACGTCATCGCGGCGTCTAAATCCCTAGCTAGTCATGGTGGTGGTCGTTAAAAAGTAGAACGTAAGAAAGTGCCTCAGTAAACGACTAACGCTACTTCAGCTGCGGACGGGGACGTCAACTAGGCCATGAAACCAAATCTATATACGCGTGGCTCGTTAAACAATTCGCTATATACAAAAACGGTCCCTAAAACGTGTCACTTGTTAACAGAACCGTGTTCTTCTCTTTCTTCTTGATAATTTTTACCTGCCTCCTTTCTTCTTCCTTGATTACACAATGAAAGAAATGAAAAATTAATAAAAACGAAGTAACTGTAGTTTTATCAGTGTGCAGCATTCAGATCAAAATTGTACACGTCCGTGTAAACTGCGTGCATCTGTATGTTATATATTTGTAGAGACTTCCAAAGAGATCTATTTAGCAAAAGTTCGTTAACCGATAAACATCTAGTTAACATTAAGTAACAACTTATACTTCAGCAACAATAACGGGATCTCTGTTATCGTCCCTGTCTCGTATCAGGTCGGTCTTCTGAGCTACTCCTCATTACGAGCACCAGCTGTTCATGTACTTTACAAACGTCGTAACAGTTGCGTTCTTCAACGGTCTTCAATTTGACGCGCATGCGCGACTTCCTTGTTATGTTAATGTGTCTTTTCTGTCTAACCTACTCTATTTTTCGATTCATTTATTTTGTCTTTTTTAACCCTTGTACTACCAATAGGGCATTTAACATAACTATGAGTCACAATTAATCCAACTAGAACGTTCCTTGGTTGATTTCATTGTGCTTTTTGTAGGTCATTTTTAGCGATCGCTACTCCTGTGGTAGTACACCGGTTAACCCTATAGCAGTTAGTTGTTCAATTTACCCTTTTAAAAATAAATACCTAAAAGAAATGTGCAGATAAAGAATAACAATGAATGTGAGACATAGAAAATATTATTAACATAGTAAATTAGCAGTTTAGTGGAAGTGAAATAAAAACATGCGGGTTATTAGGCATAACTGATAGTGTCCTAAACGGTCAATTCAATGGATTGTATAAAGCGGTCGATATTCTTTTTTCGTATTCTGTTCCATAAGTTCCAAGGAAGTCGGAAACAATCGATCGCATAGCACCGATGGCACGAATCTTCTCGCAGTTTACAGACTACGATGCCGAAGTATCAACTAATCTACCAAAATTGTGACCTTTAAAGATGATACGCTAAACTGGTTTCTATAGAACGTCGTCTAAAATTTTGTAACGTCTCAATTTACGTTTGTGCGCCGTTTCTTTGTTCTTTCTCGTCGATGTTCTCTTTTTCGCCGTATCGCCTTAAGAAATCCTTCGATTTCTGCCTTTTTAGTTTTTAACATCCTCATGGTATATCCGTGAGCGTTTCGGTGCGCGTGATTCGCTTACGCGAATGATACTCACTCCAAATGTCCATACAAATTTATAGAAAAAATGTTTCTTGAAACATCGAGTGTCAGAGATTCCATTATCCTTTTTTTTATGTTTTTCGCTGTTTTAAGTGGATTAGAATCCCAAAGAGAATCTATGAACTCCTAGCAAGTGAAATTTCGTGTAGAAACGATCTAGGATCGAATTGTGGCGCCACCTTATCGATTGAATAGCCTTTTAACCCTGTCGGTAAGTTATCCATAATTACAACGTTTTTATCAATCTCTGATATATTAGAAATTTCGAATAATTAAAATTTTCAGTTTTAGAGGTAGATGTAGACAGTTCGAAAATAAAGAACAGCATCAACACGTTAACAGTCGTACGATCAACAATGCGGATGACACAATTTCTAATTTAAAATTGTGTCATTTATGAATTGTTAAAGTTAACCAAGTTTCATGGAGTCCGGTAGAATTCAAGGACTAATTACAGAGACAAATCAAAGAATTGCTTGTAACATTTCGCATTCTACCTCCTGTGACAGGCAGAAGATAATTAATTCGTACGACTTCCTTCGTCTTCCAGATAATGTCGCGAGTTTTTTCAATCGTTCGGCAAAAATTCAAGATTCGATATCGCGATAGAGCAACATTCGTTCTGTAGCGAGTATCACTTGCGCAGACGAATGTTTCTACGTAGCGTGTGAAACGAAACTGAAAGGTCAAGCGGCTAATGGTTAAGTCTGCGTAGTTCCATGGCTGCGATGTCATCCACGGATATAAGCTTTTCTATGGGAATGCAGGAAAGTTCGCCACCGACGCAGGACTGCGGCTGTTGCCATCTGGCCTCCTTCTCGGCCTCCTTCGCCTTCAACTCCGCTTCCCTCGCTCTGCGTTCCTTCAGTTTCAACGAAAATATCGCGACAGATCTGGCCCTCTTCATCAGGCTCTGTTTCACCCTGGTCTTCTTCGCTTCGCGATCCTCCTTGTTCGGCTTCTCGTCCTCTTGGCTGGTTTTGCTCGAGTCTGACCGACCACTCGAGTCTTTATCCCTCTCTGAATAGTGGGACGTTTGCTGTTTGTGTTCGTGGCTCTCGCGTTGATGATGTTGATGGTGCTGTTGCTTTTCAACCTTCTCTCGTTCCCTTTCTCTGTCCGGGGAGAAACGGAACTTCTGGTTCCTGTGAGTCATTGTCCACGGTGGGGCAGACCTATAAAAGAAGGAATTACATTTGTTAGATTTAGAAATGAATTTGCTGTCTTAATAATTAAGCGTTTATCATTCAGTTTAGAAGATAGATTCTGTCGTGACAATACTAGTTGTGCAGTACATTTTAATGACATAACTGTCAAGTAAAGTAAATTGACTTTGATTACGAAATGAGTAGATTATCTTTTCAGAGGAATACTTGAAGACTGCAATAGGTTCTGGAATAGAAGATTGAAGAAATATAGACAGAGACCTGAGGAGGTCGCTGTCTGATGATGAAGCAAGTTCTTTGGAGACTATGCAGTCGGTGGACCGATGAAGATGCTGTAGCTTGTCTGTCCTTCCGTTGACGCTACCAGCTCCACTGATTTCAGAATCACTGGACTTTCTGCCTCCGGGTTCGAGACCTAATCTTCTGACCCAGTCCACGCCACCGTGAGGTCCGATAGTCAAATGGTGGCTATAGTTTTCACCACCTGACGCTTCTTGTTCGTTAGGTAGCCACTCTCTTGAACGCCTTCCTGCGAGCGCACGAAGGTGAAAAGCATGATTTTTGCACGTCCCTATTATAACTTTTGCAACTATATTTCAAATAATATTATCATTATGCTGCTCTTGGCAAGATAGTATTCAATCGAATTAAACATTGTTATATGATCTCACGAAATCGCTATATTGAATAATTCTTACCTAGAGTAATACTACCCCTGGCAAAAAGGGTTCATCAAACAAACTAAACGTTTGTTATCAATATTTCTTATATTATGGGTCCAGGAAAGTCAATAGTAATAGTAACACAACAATAAGGTACTAAAAAATGTTTCTTAAAAAATATAAAATAAGAAAATCGAATGTTAATTCAAGGATATTTTCAATCGTTTCAGACGTTGAACATATTGCCTATTTGAAAAAGGTATTAAACAGATTTCAACAGTTAGCCACTCCACGTCGAAGATCATCAATCTTTTCATTCCGTCTCTTTAACGAAAGCACACTGTTTCCCACTGTCCACGTGAACTCTCCGCCAAGGGTAGTAAAAGCTGCGTTCACGAAGAATCAGACACTGAGCAAGACATATAAAGGCGAAAAGGAAGAAAGGGACATAGTCGAACCTCGTTCTCCGCCAGGAATGGAGCACCTAGGTGAATTGTGAAGGTCGCGAATGCTGCCCATGTTAATTTCAGTCAGGAAAGGTGTACCTATATCGCTGCCGGTTGCGCTGCCTGGTGTCTGGGCAGCGGACGGTGTTTCCGAGATTCTTGGCACGGATGCGGCGCTGGGTGTCGGCGGGCTGCTCGGCGTCTGAGTGGTCGATGCCAGGGTCGGCGTGTCTGGGAGACTGGGCGAGGTCGCATCTCCGGTGCGATCGGAAAGCAGTTGTTCTTCGCTCTCTCCGTCTGCTGGACTCACCACGAATCTCCCTGAGTTCGAGCGAAATTAATAGACGGTAGGAGAGAGGACGAGAGATGAGTGGGCGGACTTCATGGTGCACCCGATCAAAGGAGGACGAGGATGGATTCGCCGATGGATACTGAACCTCGATGTCCTTATACTGTTTTAGACTTGTGATTTATTTTCTGGGGTTCAATGTTAACGATTTGCCAGTTTCTGTACCAACGAAGAATTTAATGTGCAAAATTTAAAGGAACCACTGTTCAAATATTAACACTTTTTGCTTATGTTTTGCAATATTGAATACTTGATCCTTGCTTTGGAAGAATGAAGTTTGAACTCTCTTGTGTAAAATGATTCTATAATCCTTTCTCGAAATTTATTTTAATATCCTTTTAAAAAATTACATTTTTTTGTAACCTTCAACGAAACTTAAACATAAGAAATTCTCCAAGGATCACTTACTGGGTATTGTAGGTTAAAGTTCAAAGAAAAGAAAGGAAGAATTCAAGGAATCCTAAAACTAATGATACTAGATCGACTGAGGAAATTTTAACACTAGGTTTATGGACGTTCATTCCACGGTTTATTCTATTGTAGCTAGAAAAATTGATGTTAATTTATTTAGATCTTGGAAATTAGGGATTTAAGAATAGACTTTTAGACGTAAAAGTTTATGAAGTAATGTTTATAAAAGAATTTACGGATTCACAAAGAAAATATAGTACTGTTTACATTTCAACGTTTAAAAATTATTGATATAAGTTGACATTATTGAGGATGGTAAAACGTGCAATTCGGTTCAATATCGATCGGGTATTGGGTCAGGTTTTTCCTGTTATCGGATAAATAGGTTGACGAAGGTTAACGAAGAACAATTAAGAGAAAAGAATTAATTGGATTACAAAGTGAGTAACATCGTAAATTGCTTACCTATTACTGTTGCGGGTTGCTGTTCTGGTGACGGAGTTGAAGACAATCGTCTAACGGCTTCCCTTCTCAGAAATTCCACCTTGGCCATTTCAGTGGCCACCCAGTGTGGTATGTCGGGTATCGCGCAGATTATGATGAATCGTATCGCCAGCATGATATGTTCCAGAGCGACGATCAACAGTATCGTCTGCGTGGCAGACATCTCTGGGAACATTCGTTGCACCTGACCGCTCAATCCGATCAACGCGCAGTTCACCAATATGGCGACCAGTCCCATAGCTTCCATTGCATTCTAACAAATGAAATGGTTCAAAATAAACTATTAAAAACGTGAAACTTTTTTGAATCTTAAAGAATAGAATTTAGGGAAAAGATATTTTAAATTCCATTTAGTATAATGAATAGTATTCTTTTATCAATTTGAAGTATGAAATAAAATATTTCTACTTTATATTTCAAACATTTCTCAGCAATGAAAGCGCATCAAGCAATGAAATGGTATTAGAACGTTAGAAACTTAAGTTGTATTTATAACAGATTAAATGTAAATGCTCCGAATTAAGTTTTATGTTCAATAAAATTGGCTATTTACTATTTACTGGTTGACTTTATTGATTATTATGCTTTATCGAGTGTTGTACGTGAGTTATATTGAAAATAAAAATAAGATTTACTTACTTGCCAAGTACCAATGTTAGAGACCCTTCGTCCAAAAGGCCGCTGGAGAACGAAACAAAGCTTGAAAGCGTCCCCCCGAAGCTGGAGGAGGTTTCCAAGTAACGCCGCCATGGCGGCCAATGGGAACGCAGAAGAGAATAAGCAGACGTAACCGAGTTGCGACAGCATTTCCAAATGCTCCGAGAATGCTCCATCGTACTGTAAAATAGAAAAGAACAAATTTCGTGTAAATTCTCTCGGAATTGTCTTAAAATATTATTATAAATTATTGATCCTCGAGAAAGATTGATGTGATTAATTATTTGTCGAGTTAACACTAGAAATACCGCGAAGTCAAGGTAACTATCATATATTTTCTCATATAAACTATAAAAATATGTTCGCGGAGGATTCGATTTATTTTTATGGTACTATCCGTATAAATAAACTTATTTATTTTATAGCATATCATCAAAACTTTATTTCTACCCATCTGGTAGTTCTAGTGTTCAACAGTTGTGAATTTGTTGCTGGCTTATTATTTCCAGGAACGAAGGAATGTTTCATTGTTCATGGAGTAGTTTTTTTGTAATTGATCGTAAAAGTGGACAATAAAACAGCAACGACGTCGAAACCGTAAATATTGAGATTCGTTCTGTGAAACATCGTCCATCATGTGTAATGTATAGTGTATCTAGCGTTGGTGGTGCAAGGGTCACTATGCTCGTCAAACAAAACAGAAAAAGCTAGCGTTTGATATGGAATCAGCGTGAAAAGCTGTGAATAATGTGTTCAACCCTTTCAGTTGTTCCATTCTTGTTCTTTTGTTGAAGAAGTTTATCATTAACGAATCATATTTCGGCGTTAAAAAGTTGCCAAGACTAAATTGCAAATCTTAGCAAATTCTAAGGAATTGGAACTAGTAAATGGAATTTCTTCGTAAATGGTTTTAGTAAATGAACAAATAAAGTAAGACAATATTACACTGTATTACATTTTTCACGTAATAATTTTGTTTGAATTTAATTATGCAGTAAGAGTATGAAGTTTCACAGCTGAGAAATGGAAGTATGAAGAACATTAATTATCATTTAATACTCCAAATATCAAAAACATTCAAATAATTTGAAGGATTTTGGGAACCTGTACTTAACCTCTTGTCCTATAATTTTGTTCGCTGCTGCATTAAATGAAGTTATTTCATCTGTAATAAAAAAAATAGTATCCTATTCTATCTTAAAAACAGACGAATAACATATTAATATTCACTAGTTTCTATTTAAAATTTTCGCGTAACAAGTTTGAGTCGATATTATAAGCCAAGGTGTTAATAGAACAGGTTTAAAATAATTTATGTAAATTCTGTCAGGTCCACCATGTGCTGAACATTATGGCATCGGTCCTGATTGATTAACGAGTCGGCAATTGAAAGGGTTAAATAATGAATGATAGGTTGAGTGGTGACATTACCTTTTTGGTGGATAACTGCGCATCGTCGACGGAATCGGTGGAAAACGGGAAAACAAATCATTAAAATTCTGCAAAAAGAACCGATCAGACAGCACAGGGACAACATTTATGTTAGCTGCATCGTTCATCGCTCTCTTCGACGTGCGGGTGTGTAAATAACAGTGGGAACGGGTACGCAAAGGTCGCGTCAGGGTCTCGAACGAAACAAAAGAAAAATACCGTGTACCAAAAGCCAAGGATCATTAATTAAAGACATAATGAAAAGGGTGACGATCAATAATGTGACAATGTTTGAACGTTACAGCGTTAGCAATCTCTATGAAAATTTCAATAGACTCAAAAGAAGTATCATTAATTTGAAATTCAGTTTTGAAAAGCTTTGAAATCATATAGAAATTTCTATTAGATCGGCGGAAAATGAGTGGACGTTTAAATACATTAAAATTCCTATGGCAAAAACTAAATTTTCTAGAAACAAAATAATGTTTAACAGATTATATTATCATTAATACATTCAGAGTATACCAAATTATAATCACACATGAACAGAAACATATTCAATTGTTGTATAACAAACGTTAATACTACCTAAGGATTAAATGCACTAATTCCCCATTATCAGACTGCAGATGTTTCTGTACTCGACAGTTTTCAAGCTACACAACATTAAATTTCAGAAAGAATTACATAAAGTGTATCACCATCGACACAATAAAATCCTTTGTGCAAGAAACACATTTCTATCTATAATTTCTATAAATTACCAGACAAAACTGCGAGGATGCATAAACGTCTGCAGTACATTATGTATTTTTTGATCGAAATTCTCCACCAGAATAAAAATCCGCTCACCTTCTCGCCAACCACAGCGAGTAATCAACTATCTCGCACGAAATTTTCATTTGTGCCATCTAAAATTTCGCGAACGCCGCTAAGTTCTGCGCGCGTGGTCGCAACGTGCGTGAGAAATAAAAGAAATTAGCTAAATCTAGACCAAACCTTGAACGTAATGTCACTAAGTAGAGAATTATTGGGATGCCCTACTCTGTAGAGGGAACTTTCCAGCTCAGCCTGGCTGACGTTTCTCGGTTGTTTGCTCTTCCCGCTGTCGGACCGTTCGCTCTTTTCATCATTGTCTTTCCCATTTTCATCGGTTTCCTCACCGGGCGGCGGCCTCGCCTCGCTCGGGCTTAGCGCGCCGAACAGCTCGAAGCTTAGACGAGCGAGTCGCAGTTGCTCGATCAGATACGGGACCGCTGACTCCTTCAGGTTCCCGATCATTTGACGGGCTATCAACAGAGCGGCCAGTTGCTGAAATAACAAGCCTCCGTGTTAATAGGATTCCAAATCCTTCAGAAAGAACAGTTATTCTTTCCGTTGCAGTTCTCTAGACACTTTTGTTTTTCTTGCGAATTGATCGCTTGAATGCTGAAAATTGTTGAAATAAGAGTTTTGTGGTTGTTTAAAAATTGTCGGTTTCAAACTTGATGTTATTATGTCTTTTATAGTAATATGTACCACTTCTATTAATGATATTATTAAAATATATTATTATTACAATTTCGTTATTTCGAAATCTTGCGTTACTATAAAATAACGCTTTGTTGAAAACGTTTTTAAGGGAAAGAATAAAATAGTAATTCGTCGTGATAAGGTCCAATAAGTTTGCAAATTCAATACATTCTATTAATTATATTTTAATAATATTATAATTTTAATAATATGATTTATAGGAAAAAAGAATATATAATTTATAGAATCTGTTAAATTTGAAAACATACTAGATCTTATTACGATGAATTACTATTTCATTCGTTCTCTTCAAAATGTTTTGAACGAAGCATTCCTTGCTATTATTGCAAGATTTCGAAATAGCGAAATTGGTTTAAATAAAAAATCGAAGAATACTCGAAAAATAAATTTAAAAGATTCAGATAAACAATGATAAACATATATAAAGGAAAAATATTGAAGATAAAAATTCAGTCGAAATGTGCCAAATTAAATAACACGATTCTTTCATTATACGGAGGATTGTTAAGGTGGCGGCATTTCCTGCTTACCGAAGCAATTGCAATTCCGACGATTGTGTAGCCTTTAACTGTGGGGAAGGTTACGTAAGCAACACCTCCAGTTTAGTAAAGCTTCTTCAGGCAATAACGGTAATGATAGTCGTGCGCAATAAAATCCAGGCGTACTAACGGTTGAACCTACGTAACGGCACATTTCGATTTGAAATGGTCAACATTCAAACGCTTAATTCGCAGAAATTGTTATTTTATCATTGAGTTTTATTTCGCTTACGAAATTTTTTCCGTGACGCGGTATACTTTTATCTTTACATCTCTTAACCCTGCTCGCGTAAAAGTATAAAAAGTTTGATCTGTGTAGGGAGGCCATTTTGGAACACGTATTCACCGCAGCACGCTCGTTATTATTTCACAGTAGTTGTTTCGTGAATGTGGGGAACAGATAACATTGGATATATATGTATATATATATATTTAAGAACGCTATTCGTAGGACTAGCTACTAAAAACAATAGAGGCAGATAAATAAGAGTTCTCAAATATACAAAATTCACAAACAGTTGATCTATCGAGTAGTAAATTCTAATATCGACAAACGTGTGTCTACAGTCGTTCTAAAGGGGTTGACGTGACTTTCCTAAATAAAATTGGAGAGTCAGTGTTTTGGTCTGTTAAAGAATATTAATTTTGCATCTATTTATATTAATTAATAATTATTCATTTAATAATTCTTTATTAAACTGCAGAAATTTATACAAATATAATATTTTCATAGTTTGTTATAAACTAAAAAGAAACTATAAAATTCGTTCAAAGCTCGTATTTTATTTCAATAATTTTTGTAATACTATAAATATACGAAGTTCCGCAGTTAAATCTTAATATTTTCCAAATACCAATCTGGTAGACATTTTTGTGATAAAATAAACTGTATCCATAATTTAATATTTCAGGCAGAAGATTTTATGAAATTTTCTTAAATTTTATTAAAAGAAATTCCAATAAGACAGAGCTCTTACTTAATTGATTTTTTAATCTCGCGTTTTAGCGAGATTAAACATGCGCCGTGTTTCTCGTTGTAATCGTGCAGCATCAACCCCCAAAAGAAGACGCTCCGGAAAATATGTATAATAGAAGAACGGGAAGAAATGGGAATAAAGGAACCCTTACCTCTTTTAGTCTCTCTTGATCTTGTAGGTAGAAGGCGATGTAAAATAGCGATAGGAAGGAGTTTACAAACTGAAACTGAAATACATAGTTCTCTTCTGTATACTCTCTATTTGTCATAGTGGATTTTAACACACATACACGGCTAAAAACGGGCGCGAGCAAGAAGACACGGAAACACAAGCGAGAACACGGATAACGTTTTCTACTACGTAAGTAAGTACATAAACAACGTTGAGATCGACAAAAAGCGCAAGCAAAAAAGTATCTGCTGAGAAAGAGAAAAATAGAATTTTCCATGCGGCGACAGAGACAGCCAGAGCAAGTCAATTTCACTTGAAAATTCAAACGGAAAAAGCGTCCGGGCTCTAAATTTTTAATATTCACACTTATACAGGGTCCACCTCTAAATGCACGACCGATTAAAATTCATTATTCTCTCAAGGTTCCCGTGATTTTCGTCGCGAGAGAAAAGCGTATCATTTGTTCGTCGTCAGGCGACGGAATGAACCGATATTTTATGAAGTACGGATTGCGACGACGCTGACGATGGAAAATTCACGTGGGCTTTGAATTCGTTTCGAAATAAATCAAATTTCTGGTATTTTCTTTGCGAAGAATATGTGCTGAATCGAATAATATTCTGAATCGACTGAAATAGAATAAACAAACATCGAATTTGTTTGAGATTTAGAAATAATAAAGATAAAGAATGTAAAGGCACCAGTAATTGAACAGGTATCAGCAGTTGACTATTTTTTAAGAAAACATAAAGAATAAGGTTTTTAAAAGTAATAATCTTTCGATAAAGGCGCAATTTTCAACGTGGAATCAACTTCTTTTCATTTGTATTTGTCCTTTTATTTGTAATTTGTCATAATCGTTGCAAATAAACGATATTAAAGTAATTACCTTTAGCGTTTTTGGTTTTACTATAAGTGGTCAACTGCTAACATATGGTCAATTACTAGTTTCTTTGTTTTCAAGGATGGTCAATTTTAGACGTAATTATTAAATTTTCAAAAATAATATAACTATTTCAAAGAAGTTCGCCTTGTTACACGACATAAGGAATTCAAACAGCATTTTCACGCATAGGGTCTTTCCATTTAATAAAGGAACAAGTATTTATTCTTATTCACACAGGAAATTTGTCTTAACTGGTCAACTATTGGTGCTTATACCTTAATCGAAATTCAGATAAATAAAGGAAATGAAACCTACGTGCACAAGAAATAAACGTTATTCCACTCTTTCCATTGGATCTCAATAGAACAATCAGTTCACATCGTCATCAACGTCGCAGTTTGTACGTAAAATGCATATTTCCTTTGCGTACAACGACGACGAGAGAAGTGCTAGACGGATTATCTAAGAGTAACAATGTTCGAACGCATGCAGTGTAAAGAATTCCGGAAGTTCCATTGGTCGGATGAACAAGCAAATTTGAGAACGCGTGGCTATAGTCGGTTAGAGGAGGACACGTGAATACGGTTAGCGCAGTAACGCACACACATACAGACAAATCTAGTCGTGGTAAATGGAGTGTTCATCTTATTACCAGTGCCACTTTGTAGATCAGATGATTCTCGTACTCGGTGTCTAGCCGATAGTTTTCTGCGTCCAACACACAAAAATCACAAATACTATCTACTGTAACATGACCACTCTCCAGTATGTAAAAGAAAAGTGAACAAAAGGTGGGGAGGAGGAATGGAGGATGTCAGAGGAAACGAAACCAGTGTGAAGAGAGAGAGGAGAAGAGAAGAAAACGACGAAGTAGAAAGTAGTGGGTGTGAAGAGACACATAAGAGGTTCTAGAATGACTCTCGCTGGTAGATAGGTATTCTTGAATGCGTTCAGAACGGCAGCGAAGTTTCAACTCCATTTACTCTTATCGCCGCAGAACGCTTCCTTGATTAATACTAGAACTACCAGGCGGGTCAAAATGAACCGTTCTTCATTTCTTTTTTTTCAAATATTGAGACAATAATAAAGTATTCTCTGAGAAATTATTGGTGAAATTGTTTTCGTAATACGCAAACTAAATTATGTCAGTTGAAATCTTAGTAGATGCACTTTTAGGGTTTCTGTAAAAAAATTAGAGAAAAGGAATTCGATTGCACGGTAGTTTTAGTGTTAAAACATTTTCGCGATGTTTAATCGTATAACGATACATTTTTGGAGTGATTTTTTCATTTATTTAATTATCGGACACCCAAATTCCAATTTACTTATACACAACTTATGTGTTATGATTTATCTCGTTGAACATTTTATTTTAGTAACCTAACACTACGTCCAGCCGTTCTGAACGTGTTCATCCTTTCAAGACTAACATAGAAATATGTTTCAATTTAACTTTTCCAAGAACTGGAGCGATTCTAACTTCGTCGTATGACCAATGGAAAGGAGTTAAATCCTTAACCTCTTGTTCTGTGAGACCTTTCACAATTGTGTTTGGTAGAACTACTTTACCGTGGATAATTTAGTCGAAAAAGAAAAGTATTATTTTGTGTCTACGTTTACTCTAAAGGTTAAAGATTGAGAAATTGAAAGTAAACAAGTAATATTTTATTTACATGAAAAATAAATAATGTTTAGATTAGTCAGAATCGGTTGAAAATTTTCATCGCCCCGATATTACAGGAAAAGGGGTTAACTGAAGATCTCTCCTAAAATTGCAATAAATATATTTCAAATAGCTTTCATGTATCGTATTCTCAGATAAATATGAACAAATAATTATTCCATGGTTCGTTACAGAAAAAGATCTGTCTTGAAAGGTTCCGTTTAGAGGGAAGGGAGCACAAAGAGACATCCGCCTGATCGGCAAGAACCGTTCAATCGGTCGTATAGGTTGATCGGGTACGAGTATATAGTTCGGATAGTTACTTTCTAGAAGAAGCTAAGCTGTGAAAAGAGATTCGAAAAGAGTATATACGCTAGGCTCTTGGAAAACTAGACGTGCACAGTGTCTTAGGTGATTGTAGAAATAAAGTCGATGCGGGGGAGCTCGAAAAAAAAGATGTATATATATATATATACCGTTCGATATGTCACGATTACGCACGGGGACAGATCGGTGTCGAGGGTGAGTGAATAAAAAGACTATTTATGGGGGACTGGCGGTATGGTGTTCATCCGTTTCCTATACGTACCCATGTCGTTCAACCAAACGGCGACCTTAAAGTAAGCCACATCCATTAACGCGATCACCACGGCGAGCAAAACTTTTGGCACGTAGCTCAACCAGAACCCGTATCCCCCGGCTTCCAGGCGAGCGTCCCACCAATCCTGAAAGCATTGGCGGAAAATTAATATTTTTACATTACCTCTCTACAAGCGCGACATTCGGGTCCAGCGAGGTGACTATAACGAGGCAGTGATCGCGATCCTGTACTGGTCTCATTGATTGATGGCTGGATTCTTTCCACTTCTTTTATTTCTTTGCTTTATCATATCATACTATGGCAGGGTTAGTCATTATTACAAGCTAAATTTAGAAATTATAAAGACACAGGGTTTCTTCTACCAGGTAATTGCGTTTAACGAGTACACACTTCATTTTTTAAATTCTAATTCCAGAAAAAAGAAACTAAATTCCACAGTTAACAGGTTAATAAGTTAATAAATTATTTAAAATAAGTAATAATGCAAATTTTTTTAATAAATGGGTCAGTTATTTTCAGATTACAAGGACATATTCTTTTTGGTAAATTAATAAATTATTTTGTGATCATAAGGTCACAAAATTATTAAATAGATTAGTGGATTAATAAATTGTTATAAAATTACAAGACACACACATTTTTTCTGAAATTCACGGAATAGTATAGTGTACCACGTTTGCAATAATTTCTGTTTAAAACAAATCAACATTTTCAACAGGAGATAATTAATCAATTTTTAAACTATGGATAAAAATTCGTTGCAAGCGTAGATCAACAACTTGCCAGATTACTTGAATTTATATGAAGTACTGTAACGGTATATCATACATACATGTACTGTTCGATAAAATGAAATAGTGAGACTGCATGACAAAATAATAAATCGATACATCTTTTCGCGTAGGATTCTGCACGGTGCTCTCGAGAGTTCTTCGGTAGCTGAAACTCGATGCATCATTCAACGTCATCATGATAAATCGATGCAGGGCCATCTGGTCTCTGTTCAAGCGACTTTGATTGCCAAAAAAACCAACACTTTTTTGCATGGGATTTGCACGGTGTCGCTTGTTTCCGTCGACGACGGAAAAACGTTCTTCCGGGATCCGGGCTTGCTCCTGAAGCATTTTTTTCGTTGCATTACAGAGCTTTATCCTGAAACGAGTTTTAGTCTGAGCTCGGGCACGTTGCCAGACACATCAATCAGTGAAAATATATATATCATGGACATTCTCTTCTCTGATTCGATTCAAAGTTTCAATGAATTTTGAATCAGTGGAATTGGAGTATCGTAATCAACTTATTTCGTCTGATTACCAAGATTAAAAATGCTCTTTACTTTAAACTTTTGTACTTTGAAAGTTTTACTCTGAAAGAAGAAAATCAGAACTGCATAAACTATAATATATCTTATTATATCCTGAGAACAAGACTATTCTTTGAAGGATTAATTTTCTACATCCGTGTCAAAAGCTGGATGATGCATAAAACAACAGTATAACGCTGCATTAACCTGCGGACCTGATTTGTATTTATAATAATAATTAGTTTATTATTAGTTTATTTATTTCCCAGGAATGAAATATTTGAACTCTATTAAAGTATTTAAATATTAATTTTAAAAAATATAATATAAATATTAATATGAATTAATATATATAAATATTAGTTATTAATTAAAAATATCGGAAAAACATATTTTAATCTTAAGCTACATAGTATCTAAATTTGACGTCATGTTGAATCGTGTATAGAGTTAATCAAGAAGATTATTTGAAGGATCACGTTTTACCTGTATCTGGAAGCTCAGGATCATCACGATGAAAACGAAGAACAAACACGCCGCGATGATGGGCACGCTTACGAAGTACCGGAACATGTTTCTCTTCCATCTAGGATAGGTTGGCTCCAGTCTACCCGTGACGGGTGAGATTTCCAAGGTGCCCTGCAACGAGAGGGATCAATTTGAAATGAAAGAAGCCGAAACTAAACGGAAGGAAACGTAGGTGTCCGTGATCGATTCGGATATGCTCACCGTGAATAAAGGCCTAGGCTCGACAAGTAGGTCGTCCCTTTGATCCAAGGTGCCCCACCTGTAGGCCAATTCGGCGCCTCTTCTTTTCCAGGTTTCCAGATAGACGGTGGCCCAGATCACGTTGAAAACGGAGAACAGGACGTATGCTACATCCTCCACCGCTTGATTCCTACCGATGATGCCGACCTGTGTAGGGCACGTTTCAATATTGACAGTCCGATCGACGTAACATCTTTTTTAATCCTCCTCACTGACAAATCAATGTTGTTGCATCAAATATTCAATACTTTTCACGTTGTGTTTTCCAGCAAAACGTCGAATTTCGAGGTTAGGAACGTTGGAATTAACAAAATGAAGGAGAATCATATTGTAACATGGTGAATTACACGATGAACTGTTCGTGTCACCATTTGTTTCGAAATATGATATGTAAATATATTATATGTAAATAGGAAGTTTGTTTTAAAGTTGTACATACTTAATAATGCCAAATGGTATTTCAAATATTCAAATATCGTAAACAGAGAATTAAAATTTGATTTTAGATATGGAGAATAGTTGCATTGTAAAATCCGATGAAAGTTCAATTTTGCGATCAATTATTTCAGCTTTGTTTCGAAGATTCGTTTCAATTTTAAGTAATGTGTAAATAAATAATCTTCTTTTAGATATTCTACACTTATATAATTAATCGTCACTTGAATATATTAAATGTATGATATTTCAATATCAGATGTTCTAGAATTAAAAGACACATGGTCTAGAATTGAATTAGACACATGGTCTAGAATTGAAGATAATCAGATGTTCAGTTACCCAATATATGGCACCCACTGCAGCTGGAACGATCAAAGCGGTGGTGTAATGTCCGAGCCACGCGAAATACATAGTAATCTTTACTCCGAAGTATTTACAAATATCGTCCAAGGGTTGGGGACTGAGAAACGCGCGGACCCATGTTCGCTGCAGATTCTCCAACGCAGGCAATTCGTGAAGAGGGAAGACCTAACGAGTTGAAAGTCAAGTTTTCCATCAGTTCTCCCCGTAAAAGCGAATTACAACTAACTATTGCAACTATTGCATGAATTTTTATGAGGAGTTAACAAAAATATATGATTGTTATTCTATTTAACACTAAGTTTATGGAACACGTCAATTGGATGCCCATTTTCAAGATTTAAATAAATGAACATCAACTTTTTTAGGAACAATAGAATAAACTGTACAATAAATGCCCGTAAATCTACTGTTAAATGTTGGCGTGATAATGAAATAAATAATAAAATATTAATAAACAATGTTACTTATTGCATTTTATGACTGTTCCGGTATAGGAAATTTATATATATACCAGCATACTCACAGTTTGCACTATTGTTTAACTTATTAACATTAAACGTACGGTGACCGGTCAAATGACCAGTATTTGAATTTGGTTTAAAATTTTGCATTTTCTTTAATTTCTTAATTCGATTAATTGGTTTTTCAATTTTTGTCTATCCTTCATTTGTTTCCATTAAGAAAAATCTATCATCTAACTTATTTACCTTTATTTTATAACCAATTATATGACTGGTTACAGTAGAAATAAGTTATTATAAACTGCCGATACGTTCAGTTTTAAACTATAGAACATTTTAAATTAAGTTCCCAATCGGAAACAGAACGCAATAGAAGGTTAATCGAAAATATCACTTCAGAAATTAAATAAAACGCATGAAAAGGGAAACCTTTTGGAATGAAGAAATTGGGGTCTAGTTTGAAAAATTCATTCTAGGATTCGGAAAAAGTGAACTGTTAGCTACCGAAGATCTTGTTACCTGGGAAATGATCCCAGAAGAAATGCACTTTGGAATAATTGCTTGTTCTTCTACCATTTTAAGACCCGGTCGTCTGTGAAGGTCTTCCGGACCTGCTCTCAGCGTGTGCAATAAGTGCAGGACCAGGGACTGCCTTTCCTGAGTAGTGAAGAATTGAGCTTCATCGTCGCTGCCTTCGAAGCAGTTCGCCTCCGAGCCTACGAACTCTTTCAGACCCCCGCCGAACTCCTGGCGCAATGTCTTTGGCAAATGCACCTCCTCGGCGGCTTTTAACAATCTGTTGAATATGCGGGGTTCACGACGAATCTGCTTTGTTATCAAATTCATCAAATGGAATCGGGAACGTAAGTATAACATTCGCATTACCAATGACCCCTTGTTTATTCCTTCGCTCTTTGAACTGTGATATTCTATTGTTTAATATTTTTTAATTCGAAATAAAGTTACATGAAAGAATACTTTTGGTATTAAATGAAAATGAAATGCTTATTTTGATTGATTTATTTTATTAATTAATATAAATAATATATAATATAATAATATAAATAATATTCATATTAGTCAAATAAACATTAAATTTTCCAACTGTAAAATTGTAATATTTCACAATACCATTTCTTTCAATTTATTTTTATCATGGCAAAGTGTTGTAAGTAGATATTTGAAAAATAAGATTAAAGTATTCTCGACTTACTATTCTGAAATGGAATGAAAATTAGAAGGGCGAAGGAAAATAATTTTTTTCGGTGAAACTTCACGCAGTTTTACGAAGTTCTCTTTTTCGAAGAAATTTCCTGAAGCAAGGTTGGAAGCATTTTCATTTAAGCAACTGTTGCCTCGGTTACGACGAGCTTATCGTAGGAATTTGATGAGATGACGATCGTGCGCTGCATAGTGTATGGTCATACTTACACGCTAAACGGGGCTGTTAAGTAAAATCCGTAACTATCTGACGAGGCATGGTGTCGCACGTGTACAACTAGGCCCGGGGTTCCAGCCCGGAGACGACCTAGAAGCCACATCAAAGTCTCGTCGCTCGCTCCACTCGGGAACATCACGACGACATCGCATTCCTGGGAAAACGACAACTGTCCTTTAATACTAGTCATCCCTGGACTGCGGAAATTTATGAGTTCACAGCGCAGAAACATCTCTGGAGAATATTCTGTTTTTTAAGACTAAAACTACCAAACAGGTCAAACTGACCCATTCCTGATTCCATCATTTTTCAATTATTAAAAAAATAACAGATGTTTCTGTGAGAAATTATTAAAGAAATTAATTGAGTAAAATAAGTAAACTGAATCGTAAATCAATTAAAGTCTTGGTAGATGTACTCTTAGAGTTTATATAGAGGAATTTTAAAAAGTCAATATAACTGCTTGGTAGTTTTAGTGTTAACTTTTCAAGGATATTGGCACATGTGAGTACATTTGATTTAGCTTAACATTAAAATCTATCGAATGGACACTTGTTTTATTTTCGTATAATTCTCTAACTGTTTTTGTCCATCTTCGGAATCTTCTATTTGTATAAATTTGAATGAAATAAACTGCAGGTAAGTGGAAATTAAAATCAACCTTATCTGTTCTAAAGAAAGTTTGGTCTTGAAGAGATTAAAATACGAATCTTAACATTAGAACTACTAAATGGGTCAAAATGATCTATTCATAAATTCTTCTTTTGCAACGAGTAAATTATTAATGATAAAGTTACCTTAGCGAGCGCAGTTATGAAAGAAATCGTAAGGTAAGAAGTTAATAAAACTGAACTTATGGTTTCATTTTACACTTTATTTAAAGTAGCCAATTTACGAATGAAATGAAATTTTATGTGATAACTGTTCGCTTGAATCTGCTCGTAAAATCGTATCTTTTTCAACTTAGTCTGATTACTAACGGATTCTTTATGTTTAATAGTTTACACAGGGCAGCTGGAAACTTTAAATTGAAAGGGTAGGAAATTTTATGTCTTAATTAAGGAAGATTTAATCGAGGAGTTCGTCTGTTTCACAGAACCGTGAAACAAATTTATTTGTGTCCCAAGTCGTTATAAAGTTCATTTTTAATAACACTGAGTATTTCAAAGTTAAAGGATATGATGAAATAATTTTAAAAAAGAAATTTTCTTAACTATTATTACATTGAATTGGAACTACATTATACTGTACTTTTTAATTAAAAAAGACTTAATTGAGAAACTGTTCTATCTCACAGAGTAGTAAAATGTTTTTTTCTTATCGTAAGGGTTGCTATGAAGTTTACTTTATTAATGCTCAGTATTTTCCAAGTTGAAGCTTTTGATAAAATGGTTTAAAGAAAAAATATTTTCAGCTATAGTTATAGTTATAACATTCTTCTTTTTTAATTCTATTCTTGGTTGAGGCATAGCACTATCTAAGTGTCCACATCACACAATATATTCCGACTAAGGTGTTATTTTACAGTTGCCGGCTGATAAAGCGAAGTTATTTCTGTGCGTAACTGTAGGTCCGACACCGGAACCGGCGAATTCTGGCACAACGAGGCAACGTCGTTTGGTCTGGCCCTATTCCAAACTATAGCAGACTGCGCGGTATTGCCAATCCACGTGCAACGATATCCTGATGGCATGCCTGACCTAATAGCGCCGGCGAAATTTACCTCAACGGTCCTGCATCCCTTTGGAGAATCAGAATTAAAGAAAATACCTGCGAGTTTAATTTTCGTGAAAGTGCTGACGCAACTGTTCGCGACAACCATTACATTCAGTCCAGATTCATGTTAAACGTTCTCGATGTTCTTTTAACTCGTTTCATATTACAGCAACATTACTCCCTTTTAACATATTAGATATAAACAAACCTAAATAAACTTTCATTCGCTTTATAAGGAAAAATATATAAAACTAAAAGAATTATTTGTTGAAGACGCTTCTCATATATCTGAACTTTAGAATAATATTTTTATGAAGATCTGAAACTTGCAAGTAATTAGTTTTAATGAAAAATATAAATTTTATTTTCTGTTTTTCAATTATGAAATGATTGTATACAGTAATTTATGAACATAAATATTATTTCTTATTTTTTAATTATTAATTGTTTTTCGAAAGAACTTATTTTCTATTTTTAATTGTGGAACGTATACAATAGTTAAAAAATAAAATTATTAATTTTTCGTTCAGACATATATCTTAATGTATCTCATTCGGTTAGAACTTCGGTTACAATATTGCTAGAGTTATCTGTCTTCCATTTTCCTCTGTTATAAACAAAAACAGTTAAAGTGCTGGATCCTTTGTTGGTACACGGAATAGGTCAACGCAAATGGTTTTCCGTTTCCAGCATTGTTTCAAATAAAATTTCCTCCGTAGCCTCGGCAGACTGTACAAAGCAGATTCAATGCAAACTTTATTCAGTCTGTAAAAGGATTTATCGAATCGAAAAAGGAACGAAACGTTCGTTAACTATTGTTTCAATTTTTGCATCAGTCACCAACAATAATCCCACAGCAATTTTATCAAGCGAATAACTTGGAAATATGCTTTGGCAAGTAATATCACGGGCACTCGAGACGATGTTAAATGGAAGCCATCGCGCCGGTAATAAAGGCGGGAAATTCGAATTTGTCACAATGCAAAGGGAGGTAAGATGATGATAAAAAGTTACGTAACAGAGAGAACTCGAGTGGGAGGTATGAAAGGTGTCCCCGAACGACGCTTCTACCGTGGACAGGGAACGGATTTTAAAGGTCAGCTCATAATTAAATTATTGACTATTTTCGTCGTGGAATTAAAGCGGCGATAGTCGGCGGCATAGCGTGCGTTTTCGAGTAAAACCGTGTGGGATGTGCATTAATGTCAAATGACACCGTCCGTGAAGGCACCTGTTGCACCATTTCGGTTTTGTATTTAATGTCGGAACCAGCAAGTCGGCAAGGACAGGAATTTGCGGTTGTTTAACGTTATTGACAGCCAGTGGTACGATGGTTCGGAAAATAAACAGCGGTTAAGTGATCCGCTGCTTGTGACACGGCATCGACAGTTTCTCAATGCGATTTCCGGTAATCGACGAAAAATAAATTAATTGCAACTTGTCACGTTACTATGATGGACATCAAAGTTTACAATACTCTCTTCCATTGGCATGAAACGTACTGTTTTAAAAAATAATATAGTTCGCTTTCAAATAGTTGTGAATTACATCCATAAGATATAACGATATTATGCAATGGTGATTGTTTCGCAAAATGATTGTCTCGTGTAAAATATTCCTTAATAAATTACTTTAACAAAAATATTTGTAGCACAAAGTATTAAAATAAACAAAAATATATTGTTGAATTTTAATAAAGTGTTTATTCAAATTGTTCCACACTAATTTATAACGGTTCACTTATACATAAATCAATTACATTTTCATCGATTCATTTTTAATTGACTAATTACAATTTTAATCGATAAATCTAAATTTTAGTTATTACACAATTATAATATGCAGAAGCACAACACGAGACTAAAATTACGAACTGCTCGATAAATATTAAGAAGCTCATTTTAGATTTGAAACCCGATAGAATCCTTAATGAAGTAAATGAATCTCGATTAAAATGAATGTTCATTTAAGTCCAAGTTTCTTCAGGTTATTCAATCAAGTATATCCATAAGCACTCTGAATATAGTCGTTACCTTCCTTACACGACGTAGCGTTCAAAAATAATCGATAGTACGTGTTACTCTAATAAATAATGAGACAAGATACCGCGTATTGGCTTAAAATAGATTTCGCAGCAAATTCGAACGAGTAACGATCACTTGTGCGTTTAAAAGTCAAGTAAGTTTACATACCGCAAACGTTTGTCCATGTATATACATATACGGTGTGCTCTTAACTATTTTATGACTCGTGAGCATATTGTGTGCTCGATGCATAATGTATCACACGTTTTCGTCTTTTGAATAACGTTGCCCGATATTGAATGGATTGTGTATCTAAAAATAACCTGACGCGAATGGAGTACGGAATGATCACGTGTGTGTCTGATGTGCATTATCGTTATCTCGACCTGTTTTCAGGCTTCTGCTAAAGACTCGCGTTTTAATCGCGCTTCAATATTTGACAAAATATTAAAATTGTGACGGGTTGTCATGTATTGGCGGTACAATCGGATAGAGGTTGATTGTACGTCAAAAAATAAGTCGAAAATATAGAATATAAGTTTTTCATTTGTGACTTCGTTTTTGAAAAAATCAATTTTAACAACCTTTTCGGTACATGTACATTCCACCGAGTCTCAACTTAACGAATATCACTGTAAACTTGTTCATGTTAATGGTCGTTCTTAATATTTTTATAGTATTTTAGATAAATCGAATAACCAGAGCAGAAGATAAAGGAATGTGCTTACTATTAAGTAATTTTATTAACTTAAAAATGATTGAAAATCATGTCTACGATTTCTCAAACATAATTGTGCTCTTCTAATTAAATTTCTACGTACATTTTCTAAAGTGTGGTTTCACAATTTTAATTTTTTAACCGCTATAATAATTTTTTCTCTGAACTGTTCAATACTCGTTATTTCGCCAGTATACACAACAGGCTTAAGATGACTCCACAATTAGAAATTCGAGTTTGACAGAAACTAGGAGCTCCATTCGACGAGTGTAGAGGTAAAGCAGGATGTTTACAAAATACAACAGTGGTTTTCAAGCATAAGAGTCAAGCATATGTCTCAAATAAAAATTTTTTATTGCATACTTTCGACTTATTTTTTTATATAAAATCACCCCCTATCTGGTTGTACTACCAGTTATATGATACCCTATGTACATACCTTTGATTTGAGTTTATTTTTACCAGAAAAGTAGCATACTACCCCTATTTTATTCGAGATAATGTCGTTACTGGTGATGCACTGAATGACGGTTCATTGTTGTTATATAAGTAAGCATAATTTTCTATAAAACTCAGGTCTGAAGGGATTAGAACTGTATCATGTTGTTGTCATATTATATCGATGCGCTATTTCTACGCATGAAATTATTATTCAAAAATCGAGTATAATTTTTGAACCCGCTGCAAAAGTGTCGT